ATAAGGAATTAAATATATAAATGTGTCATTAATTTAATAAAATACGTCTTCATTTTATGAAAAATATATATAACAAAAGACAGAGAATGACATATTTTAGAAAAGTCAACTGATTCATATTTATATTTCTGTGTTTTTTATTTTGCTAACTATACTTTAAAAGGTAGTGTTCAATTAAATATATATATTTTTTCTCACTATTCTTTATTGTTGATTTATTTAAAAAAAAAAAAAAAAGTGTCTTACAGCCTACCCAGTGGCTATGGCTGTTTACTGTTTATGAGATTCAATAAATGTAAATTAAATACATGTTTTATAAAAGAAAAAAACATTAATCAGATATTTTTGTTAATGTCTTTTCATCTCCCTATAAAATATAATTAATGCGATGAATTTATTTACTTTACGTGATGCAGTCAGATTTATATCGGGAGACTTCGGGTTTAAATCTTGAACGAGTTTTCCTGAATCCATCCGGGAAAGTATCCGGTCCTCGCGCCTTGTTTAAAAAAAATGTCGTTTATAAAAAGAACAGCTAACAAACACGACGTTTTAAATGTGAATGGAAACAGATTTTTGCGAGAAAAATACTCGATTTCCAAACAGAAATTAAAACGTTACGGTCAAAACTGGCTTCTTCTGACAGTAAATAAAACGAGTTGCTTTGGTTATCGTGCCGGTTGCTATGGTTACCTTGTTAAAACGCGACTTAAAATGACCCCGTGAATGATGCATTCATGACCCCTCGAAATTTCTGACTTCATCTTTTGAAAAATGTCTAGCAAGGATCTTTATGAGTGAGAAATTTCGAGAAGAAATTCAGAGCTTCTTAAATGATCCCAACCTCAAAATCCCATATGGTTTTCATAATTATAAAATAAAGAAGTAATGAATTCAACTCTGATAGTTAACATATATTTAAAATACATTCTTGTCAGTAAATTGGTCGTAAATGTGTTACAAAACGCTGGAATAAAAAAAAATGTTGTTTTTTTTTGGTAATGTTTAGTTAATGACTGATACAGTTAATGCTGTTAAATCAGCTTTAGTTTTTCCTTATTTTAATTTTTGCCATCTTTATTTCCGAGGTTCTTTGAATGTAGCATTAATACCAGTCCGAAGCAACACCACCCACTTCCGGTGTCAAACAGGAAGCTGTTTTCTTGTATCAGCTGTTTTATTTTATTTTCACAACAACCAAAGACAGTTGAACTGATTTATTAAACCTCCTCACAAACAAACAGCCGGTCCAAAGCTTCGGTTTAACGTCTGTTCATCCGGACAACATGCTGTCGGACGCAGGTCGGTATCCCAGCTGCTAACTGCTACATGCTAAAGCGATAAGCTGCTGTTTTGGTCCTTTAAAGCGCTGAAATAATGTCCAAATCCCACCGTTTATTCTCTGTTAATAACCTGATCGCACCTCTGATCGGTTATAATCTGTTCACCAAACATTTGCCTTTAAATCCGTTAATCGACAAACAAACAGAGGTTGTTTTTCTGCGCAGCTCCATTGTTTCCACCTGACGCTGTGTGTTATTGTGGCTGCAGATTACTCCGGGAGCTGCTCCGGTGCCCGCAGAGCCAGAAAGCGGAGCTCCGGGGAGTCTCCTGGGGACGGAGCGTCCGTTCGCTCCTCCGGGAGGCAGAGCACGGCCCGGGTGAAGCGCAGCAGCAACCCCCCACCTGGACCGGTGAGAACCACAATTATGCAGATTAAAAATCTATGGAGGTTATTCTGTTTCAAAACTATTTGTGCATTCTAACTTTGGTGTTTTGTAATTGTAGATTTTTTTGTTGTTGTCACAATTACAAAAAAAAAGTTACACACTGGAAATAATCAACATAAGTCATTTTTTCTTAAATAAAGTGCATTTTTTCTTGGATTGAGGAGGTAAAAGAGACATTTTGCCAACGGAACAAGACAATTTACACTTAAAATAAGAAAACACAATTGCATTTTTTTTTATTTTAAGTGTATATTATCTAATTATCTTATTTTAAGAGTAAAAATGCTGATTCCATTGGCAAACTATCTCATTTACCTACTCAAATTAAGGGTAAATACACTTAAATTAAGACATTTTTACTTATTTCTAGATCGTTTTTCCAGTGCACCTCTTCAAATTCTTAAGTACACAAATTGTGTTTTGCGAGTTGCACATCAAAATTGTCTTGATTTTTGGCCCCTCCCCTAAATGAAGCAAGCCTCGATACAGGCTTAGTGGAAACGCACGCTCCACT